CCCAAAGCACTGGGATGACAGGCAGGAGCTACCATCCCTCTCCAGTTTTCTTCTCTGTGAAATGGAACTAAAAATGATACTTGCAAATATTTTAAAAGAAAATGAATATGAAGTTAGCTTATTAACAGAAAAATTGGATGTAAATGTTGTAATGTTCACACTGCTGTACAAAATCTATCCCATGGTGTGACATTTGGGACATGCCCTGGTTATTCACCCTTGACTGTGAAGAATTTGGGCGGTGGGGATTAAGCCAGGCTCCTCCATGAACCTTAAAAGCTGAGGAAAGGGACATTTCTGAGCACAGAGAAGCTGTTCTAGGTGTACTCCTTTTCATGTGAGGACTGGGCAGACAACTAGAGAGCCCTTATGAGGCACCACCTGTGGCCTGACAAGTTTGGGAACGAGGCCCATCTGCCAGTGACACTGATCTCAGTCCTCCTGGGTGCTGAGTGAGTGAGGAGCTGAGTCCTCTGCCTGGGAAGATGGGTGTATTTCTGACAGAATTGCAGGAGAGTGTGCTGGCAGAAGTGGGTGCTTTCTGTGTCTTGCAGATTTACTGTCCCTCATGAAACCATCCTACATGACTTTTGTAAGCCAGCCTCAGGCACAGAGTTCCCACCCACCCATGCCTCATGCTCTTCTGCAAGGCTGGATGGTAAAGTCCTATTGCCTCATGATTTCCCAAACAACCCTGGGACGTGGGCAGGGTGGGTGTTATCATCCTCACTTGACAAAGAAGGAAACTGAGGCCTGGGGAGTTGAACAGGCTGCCCAGGGTCCTGGCTCATGAGTGGTAAGGCTCTGACTAGATTCCCAGTCTCCTGACACTAGCCCAGAGTTAGGGGTTTGGAGAGTGAGGGGAAGGGCTTCATTCCTGTTTAGAGTTATCCCAGGCTTTTTGGAGCCTTCTGACAGGAAGGATTTTTTTTGTTTTTTTGTTTTTTTTTGAGATGGAGTCTCGCCTTTTCGCCCAGGCTGTAGTGCAATGTGATCTCAGCTCACTGCAACTTCCACCTCCGTGGTTCAAGCAATTCCCTGCCTCATCCTCCTCGGTAGCTGGGATTATAGGTGCCTGCTGCTACTCTCGGCTAATTTTTGTAGTTTTAGTAGAGACAGGGTTTCACCATCTTGGCCAGGCTAGTCTTGAACTCCTGACCTCATGATCCACCTGCCTCAGCCTCCCAAAGTGCTGGGATTATAGGCATGAGCCGCTGTGCCCAGCTGACAGGAAGCTGTCTAAGGTGAGACCTGAGGTGGCAGATGGAGAAACATGAACTGAAAAGACAGCGCCTTGCCAAGCCCATGAAACTCTGATATAGCAGGTCAGGACCAGGAATCTGGCCTCCTCGTTACCAGCCCTGTGCTGCAGTCGACCATGCATAGGTGTTGATTGTTGCTATGAGAAGCGGGCAGCAGGGGGCAGAGGTACTGGAATATGTGTGCTTTGCATATGTGTACCAGATTCCAGTATTTTCATACGTTTTAATTTAGAGTTAGCAGTGACCTTCATTAGAGGTGGAATTGCTCCCCTCTGCTCCCTCCCTGGATGTCATTCTGCGTGCCTCTGTCCTTAAAGTGGACAGGCCTTCGCCTCCCACCCCTCATCCCTGTGGTCTAGCTGGCGACTTCTGTACTGCTGGGCCTCAGCTTCTGGCTGCAGAGCCTTCTGTGTGCAGACAAGGGCCTATCACCATCACTGTCTTCACCTGCCCTTGGGTTGGCTGGGCCCTCTGATGGGCATACTAGAGCCATGTCAGGTTCTGCTTTTGTGCATGCGCTGAGTACAGTGGCCAGGGATTGCCTGACTGCAAATTTTCACTCCTGTTATCCTCCAAAAGCTAGAGTAATCTGTCAGATCTGTAAATTCGTAACACAGCAGTTAGACTGTTGAACCCCTCAAGCAAAAATCCTGCTGATGGGAGAGACAACCCCACTCCTCCGATTCCCTTTCTTTACTCTCCTGAAATGATCACATCAAAGAACTAATACTGCAAAGGAGGAAATAGTATGAGTGACAGTGGTGTCGCTTCTTCATTTGTGAAATGGAAATAATAAAAAAGCTGCTGTAAGTCAGTGTCTTTCAGCCCTGGCTGCATGTCAGTTACCTGGCGGGCCTTTAAATAGCCCTGTCCTCAGGCTGCAGCCCAGACCCAGGAGATCAGAATCTCTCAGGCTGCCACTACTCTCGGCTAATTAGTTAGACTCTCAGGCTGAGACTTAGAATTAGCAGTTTTAAAATTCTCCAGGCAATACTAATGTGTGGCCTGGGTTGAGAGCCACTGCTCTAGGATTAAAAGAGTTGGCTAATTGCTTGGAGCAGAGATGTTTTCACATCTGGCTGTGCATGGGAATCATCAAGGGGTAGGGTGGTGCTTTTAAAATTAAACTGAAGCTGGGTGGTATGGCACATGCCTGTGATCCCAACTACTTGGGAGTCCGAGGTGGGAAGATTGCTTGGCCCAGGAGTTGAGGCTGCAGTGAGTTATGATAATGCCACTGCACTCCAGCCTGGGCAACAGAGCCAGACCCCATTTCTAAGCATAAATAAAATTAAACCAATTCCCTGGCTACACATTCCAGACCATTTGAATCAGTGACTTATATCTCTGGGTGTTTCTTGCTCAGCCTTCACATGAACCACTTATTAGTACCACGGGCCAACATTACAAATATTTTCAGTCTTCACAATTCTCTAGCAGGGAATCCTGATTCCCATTTGACAGATGAGAAGATCTATGCTCAGAGCAGGTAGTGACTGTTCCCAGGTGAAAGCATAAGTCCCTGAGGCCAGGCCTGTCTGACCTTGAAGCCTAGGGGCTGAGTCTAGCAATGGGTGTTCTTTCTTCAGGAAACAGGCCAAGGAAAGAGGGACACTAGCCAGCAGCCTTGGCTCCCTCTGAGGCCCCCTCCACAGGTTGAGCAGAGGGTCATGCCCAAGTGAAGAGAGGTGAGATGAGTGGTGTTGTGTGGTATTTGGTGTCATCTTAGTCACTCAATCTCAAATTCCTCCCTTTGGGGAGGGGAAGATGCTTGTGCAGTGGGCCTGCCCCAGTCACCACTCATTGCCACAGTTGTCTCGAAAGGAGAAAACTTAGGCTGGAAAAGCAAACACTCATTTGCTTTTTGAGAGTCTGAGGAATTTTTCAGGCATGTGATATAGAAAAAAATGCCCCTGTTTTCCTCATAAGACAAAGGGGAAACAATGTCAAGGGGACCCGAAATGCTTAGCTCTAGTTTATAGAAGCTCTTTTGCCCCTTCACAAGTCCTAAGGCTGTCAACACAGTGCAGGGCTGGGAGCTGGGGGATTTGGATGCCAAGAGGTTTACAGAGCTGTGTGCTCTGTAAACCTAAATCTATCCCTTACCATCCTTTCCCCACCAGTCAAGTAGGAACTCAGGGCTGCTGTGACAAGGTCACAGGGACTCTGAAATGCCAGGCCCTGCCAGCAGCCCCTTGAAGTGTCAGAGGGAGAGGAGAGGCATGTGGCTGTTGTGACCCTGAGACTCACAGCCACCTGGTCCTGGAAGCTCGGTCAAGTGTTTGTTGGCACCTACCAAGGCACCTGCTGTCCCCGAGGCCCAGAGTGGCTCCAAGAGACCATATGTGTTAGAGATCACACTGAATGTGTTCACTTTGGCTCTGGGAGGCCTGGCTCCACTCCACCTGTGTCAGCCCCTAATGTGTGGACAGCTCAGAGCCAGTATTTGGAGCCTAAATAGCTGAAACTTTAGAGTCAGTGGACAGTGTAATATAAATTTGGCTCCACAAAGCCTTCTCTGCCCAGTCTGGCCTCTAGGGTCGTCTCCCTCCCCAGAGCTCCATCTGTACCCATTGTCTGTGCCTTTGGTCCCTGCCGCGTAGTGCCCAGCACAGATCCTGGCACAGAGTGGATGCCCAGACAGTGTTGAGTGAATGGAAGTTGAGGGGAGGGAGAGATGCATGAATCTGTTTGGGAACATCTCTGAAGTGGCTGCCATATAATGCTGTCTCAGCATTGGCCTGTCTATCTGTTGCTTGCCCAATTTGACTCTGTGGTTGGTATTGCCACTCTGAGTATTTTGAAGACTGTCTCGCTGAGGATGATGATAATGATGACATGGTCCAGATGCAGTGCTGCTTTCTGCAGTTGGGGCAGATATCCCAAGCATTTCCTCGTATGTAACTTTTACCCCAGAGCCACTAAGAGCGTACATCGTACGTCTGGAGTCTGCTGTCCCCTTATTCAGCCATTAAGCTGAACCAGAAAACTTTCTGAGTTACCTGAGCAGTGGTTATTTGGGGTAGCAAATACCCTCTGAGACCTGCTCCACAGGTTGAGCACAGTGAAGGGTCTCCAAGCCCAGCCCTGGGTACCAGTGCCTGAAGGGGACTAATAATGGTCCAGCCCTGCTGTAACTATCTCAGAGGCTTTGTGGACAGCTAGTTGGGTATTTGACTTTGAAGTTTGGCTTTGCCATTAACTCTGCAGTGACCTCAGGTGAGCCCCTAGGCCTATCCTTCGGCCTCAGTTTCCTAATTGTACAACTCTCTGTTCATAACAGGTCCTCTCACTGTGATGCTCCCCGACTATGATGATTAACCTTGTTAGGCTGCCTCCTCCCCAAACCCCCCCCAAATCCAGATCCCCACCAGCCCAGTCTGCTTATGGATATTGTGATTTCATCTGGTGGATCTTAGACTTGGGTTCTAGCCGAGACTTTGCAATGACAAGGGCGTGTCATCCTGATCAATAACCTTTCTGAGGCTCAGTGTTCAACTCTGTACACTGGGACTAATACTAACATTCACTCCTCATAGAAGGTGTAGGCGGAAGGGAAGCCCAGTACCTGTCCCATCTCAGCCACAGGTTGTCATCCAGATGGGGATGCAGAATGGAGGCATGATTTGTCCTGTCCTAGAAGAATCACTCTGAATTTGTGTGACCTGGTAGCTGACAGTGGGGTCACTTCCCCAGTGAACACAGTGATGACCTAGTCTTGTGGGTCTGTGTCCCCAGTGGTCAGTTTGCCATCGTGAAGAAGTGCCGGGAGAAGAGCACGGGTCTGGAGTATGCAGCTAAGTTCATCAAGAAGCGGCAGAGCCGGGCGAGCCGGCGTGGTGTGAGCCGGGAGGAGATCGAGCGGGAGGTGAGCATCCTGCGGCAGGTGCTGCACCACAACGTCATCACCCTGCACGACGTCTACGAGAACCGCACCGACGTGGTGCTCATCCTCGAGCTGTGAGTGGGGTCTCCAGGACCCAAAGGGTTAGGGGGCAGCAGGGGCAGGCAGGGTGGTGGAAGCTCCAGCCACAGGCCCCAAGGGGCAGCAGCAGCCAGGTAAATTCAATGGTGGGCAGATCCCCTCTGCCTCAGTTACCCCCATCCTCCTCCTGCAAGTGAGCCAAAGGAGGGGCAAGCTTGCTGAGTAGCTAGGGCAGAGGGCGATGGCCTGTCTGGCTTTCACTGGACCCTGGGGATCAAAGGGAAGAAATGACTGCGCTGGGGTCTTTTCCTGGCTGGAGAAGCATGTGGGAGGGTGAAGGGGACGGAGGGCGGGATGAGGCCAGGGGAGGCTGTCAGGGAGGGATGTGTACTATGAGGAGGGGCTCTGTGAAGCTCTTCTCTGGCCCTTTCCGGGGGAAAGTCCACTGCAATTGCGCTGTGAGTGACAGCTTTATTGTTATAATAATAGCTATTATTTAGAGAGCCCTATCGTAAGCCAAGAATTTGCTAGGTGCTTTGTATTTGTTGTCTTGTTCAATCTTTAAAGACTATGATGAGGGAAATGTCTTACGAATGCAGAGAGGTTATTTTGTATTCATTGTGCAAGCAAACTACTTCTGTACCTTATTTAATCCTCATAACAATGCTGTCACACAGACACTCTTATTATCCCCATTTTATACACAAGAGCACTGAGAGGCCAGGTCACTTACAAGATCCTATAGCCAGGAAGTGGCAGGACCAGGACTTGAGTCCACATGGCTTGTGCAGACAGCTATGAGTGTGAGGCAGGTTGGACTTATGCTGGCTTAGCAGAGGAAGACTTCACAGTACATGATGGAATTTGGATAGATGGCCCCAAGACTCTAGGGGTTGTCTGGCCACCCTGGTATCCTCCTGTGCAGGTGGGGCTCTGGGACGCAATAGAGTTTGAGTTGGGTTGTGGCACAAGTCACAGTGGCTGTGTCCAGTCAAGCAACAAGGCCCATGTAAGGAATGTTCTAGCCAGGCGCAGTGGCTCACACCTGTAATCCCAGCACTTTGGAAGGCCAAGGCTGGCGAATCACAAGGTCAGGAGTTTGAGACCAGCCTGGCTAACATGGTGAAACCCCATCTCTACTAAAAATACAAAAATTAGCCAAGCATGGTGGTGGGCATCTGTAATCCCGCCTACTAGGGAGGCTGAGTTAGGAGAATTGCTTGAACCTGGGAGGTGGAGGTTGCAGTGAGCCGAGATCACACCATTGCCCTCTAGCCTGGTGACAGAGCAAGACTCCGTCTCGGGAAAGAAAAAAAAAAGGCAGAATGTTCTGAGCCTCATAAGCATGTATGCACCTGCCTGGTAGCAGAGGAGTGACAGAATCTGTCTCAGGAATCCCTGATTTTGTGCCCTTGGGGAAGTCACCTCAATCCCCTGAGCTTTAGATTTCATCTGTAAAGCAGGCAGCCATTCTTAACCTGCCTACAGACTGGGGGGACCACCTAACATTTGAGATCATTCTAATTTGAGAACTATGCTCTGGTATTGGCAGGATATAGATTTAAGTAGCAGATGGGCATTTGCATACTCTTGCATTTGATTCTTAAATTATCCATCTCGATGTTTAAATGTATAGAATTGCCTGTTCTCTCCCCTTCGCTAGCTCCCAGTGACTTCCATGTTTCTCCCACGGACCTCCCAGCTAGTTGGACTAGTGGGTGCCTGCCCTGCCTGACCCAGAGAGAAGCTGAGGGTCAGAAGTCAGCACGCTGATTCCCACCAGAGACTGACAAGTGCACCTTGCTGGAAAGGCTGAGCCACTTCTTAAAAGTCTCTCATGGAAAAAAAAAAAAAACTAAGCAGGAATGGAAAAGAAATGACATTTAGAATTCTACAACCCAAACACAGCTATTTATGTTTTTCTGTGGTTCCTCTCAATCTTTATCCATTTGTATACAGTCATTGTACTTGTATAATTTCCTGCTCTACTTTTCCCCCCAGTTAATGTAATTCTAAAAATTGCCTTTACTCTTTTAACCGACTATATGTTTCACTGAATTGCATACCAGTATTTCCCTTGTCTTAGTCCATTTGCTGTTGCTTACAGTAGAATATCTGAAGCTGGTTAATTATAAGGAAAGTTATTATTATTTCTCACCATTGAGGAGGCTGAGGAGTCCAAGGTTGAGGGTACGCATTTGATTAGGATCTTCTTGCTGATGGGGAATCTCTACAGAGTCCTCCAAGGCAGCCTAGTGCATCACATGGTGAGGGGCAAAGCGGGCTATCTCAGGTCTCTCTTCCTCTTCCTATACAGCCCCCAGTCCCACTCCCATGATAACCCATTAATCCATTAACCTGCTAATCCACTAAGGCATGAATGGATTAATAAACACAGAGTCCTCATAACCCAATCACCTCTGTTTTTTTTTTTTTTTAAGGTAGAGTCTCACTCTGTCATCAAGGCTGGAGTACAATGGTACAATCCTAGCTCACTGAAACCTCTGCCTCCTGGGATCAAGCTATTCTCCTGTCTCAGCCTCCCGAGTAGCTGGGATTATAGGCACCTGCCACCACACCCAGCTAATTTTTTTGTATTTTCAGTAGAGACAGATTTTACCTTGTTGGCAAGGCTGGTCTCGAACTCCTGACCTTAGATGATCTGCCCACCTTGTCCTCCCGAAGTGCTGGGATTACAGGCATGAGCCACAGCACCCTGGCTCAGTATCCTCGCTTTCCAAGGATAGTACTGGTTAAGCATTGCTACTACAACATAGGAGTGTTGCTGTGTGCCTGCAGCCCTGCCAGCCCTGGGTCATTTGTTTTGAAACAGGTTTCATTATTTATCGATCTTTACAGCTATAAATTGATTCTTTCTTATTGTAATTGGCGTGTCTTTAATTGTTGGGGAAATTGCTTGCTTCTTCCTGTTTGCAGAACCCTAGGAGTCGGTGGGGGTGGTCGGCGTGGTGGGTAGATGCTCTTGAGATGTCCATGTTTTTCCCAACAGGGCTAATGATCAGCCAATAGTTATCTGCCAGCTTCTTGTGAGCTCAGGTGCACCATCTGTAACATCCCTTGTCATGCTGGTGCTCCCATGACTTGCTTGGGCCACTGTGCTTTTTTAGTTCTGTTCAGTTTCTGTCTCCCCCTTCACTTCCAAGCTGTCTCATTGTTCTCAGGGTGCCTATCTAAGGAATGCTAAAAATTCATGAGACTGGAGAAGACCCAAGAGTTCTACGACTGTGCCTAACTGTGCCATGTATGGCCAGGGTCTGAGAGGGAGGACCTCCCAGGAAAGGAGTTTCTGGGCTTTTGTTTTTGTTTGTTTTTTGAGACGGAGTCTTGTTCTGTCACCCAGGCTGGAGTGCAGTGGTGCGATCTCAGCTCACTGCCATCTCCACTTCCCAGGTTCAAGTGATCCTGGTGCCTTAGCCTCCCGTGTAGCTGGGACCACCAGCATGCGCCTTCACGCCCAGCTAATTTTTTTGTATTTTTAATAGAGGTGGGGTTTCACTGTGTCAGCCAGGCTGGTCTGGAACTCCTGGTCTCCAGTGACCCACTCACCTTGGCCTCTCAAAGTGCTGGGATTACAGGCATGAGCCACCACCCCTGGCCTCATGGGCTTTTGTGCTTAGACGTAGTGGTTCCTGTTAGGCTGGTCAGAGGTCTTTGGCCTCCTGGTCCCCACTGTTCCCTAATAGGTTAGTGAGTGTGCTCTGCCTACTCAGTTGAAAGCTGCCCAGTTGCAGGTTTTATGAATGAGTCCACTCTGATCCCACGGCCCCTCTCAGCAACTGTTGTCTGGTGCAGGGCTTCCTCCTGCTTTCTGCTCAAGTGGCCAGCAGTAGGAGAACATGCCTGGCCCTGTATTAAATCCCTCTCAGCTGTTATCCCATCTGTGACCTCCCTAGAAGCAGCTGCTCTGGTCATGACTGTTGAAGGCAGGACGAGGAAGGATTTAATTGTATACGTTGACTTCTGCGTGAGGTACAGAATATATTCAAAATCTCCATAGCTTAACTCATGTCACATGTGGAACTTGTCCTGAAAAATTGAAGTCGCCCTGTGTAGGTTGGACTGGCGTCCCATTGCAGGCCCCTGACTGCTCTGGGGCCTCCTTGATTCCAAACCTGTGGAAAGCAATACCTCGGTGGTTGCACACCAGAGAACCGCCTGGCAGAGTGCTCCAGGGTAGCAGTGATGCTTCCCAGCTTCCCGAATTGAGCCCAGCCTCCTTGGCTCAGCAGCTCTGGCAGCATCTTTTCCCCACCGCTGCCTATGCAGGTCATTTGTGCACACATTCCCCAAAGAGTCTGAAAAGCATTTCCAGCAGGCATGCCGCCCTGCAGGGAGGAAGGAGGCAAAGGGCAGATTCCCAGGAAGGAGACGATCCTGGGAACACTAGAAGAGATGAGGCCTGGCTGTCAGGCTTTGCTTTTCATCTTAAAGCTAAAGAGGTGTGGGATGTGAGAGGAAGGAAACTGGAAAGGAAATGGGGAGTGGCTCCAAGGCACTAAGACCAAGGGCAGAAACTAAGTTGTGGCTGGAGAAATAACACCCAGGCTCCTTGATTAGACTTTGAAAAGAGGTGACTGAGCATTAATGTGAACGTCCCAGCCTGGGTATCCAGGACCTAGACAGTGGCAGGTCATCAGCCTCTCACCTTCCTGAGTATCTGGGGGAGATTCTAGGGGGCACAGTGGCTGTTCCTTTCTTCATCCCAAGGAGACCATGTCTCACCAGGTCTCCTGCCCAGATCCCACCTTCAAACAGATGACTGATTACCGCCCCCCAAAATCCTCACTCCACCCAAGCCTTCATGTCATTGGCTTTTGGGAACAGGGTACATCCCCATTATAAGAAGCTTTTACATTTATGCAGCATTTTATTTAAAGTCAGAATTGCAGGGTTATTATTTATTTGGGTATTTGCCCGAGGTCACAGGCCCATACAACCTGGCAGGGGCTGGCAGACTCTGGGAGTTTAAAAGACAAGGGTTGATTTGAGCTGGGTTCTATGTGTTGCAGAGGGG